TACAAACCCAATGCAAACCTGCAGAGTATTTTTAGTCAAAACGCGATTTGGGGATTTCCCTGCTCTACAAATGTAGAATCTAACTAGAAGAAGAAACGAGATGTTGCCTCCTGACAGTTCTTCACTGCGCTGTATCTTGCTGCTTTGCTTTAAATTGTGCCCAGAGGCTATAGCAGAGGTTTGCAGAATCTAACAGGAAGGTTGTTCGTACGAAATGATTGGTATTTGACAAAGCCCATCAGCGCACGATGGCGAGTCCTCCGTGTGCTCCTCTGGGTTATTTGCCTTTTTACTGCATTAAGTCCACTGTTATGTCATTGCTCTGCCATTGATCAGTATTAAATAGTGGTACGTGCTGGCTGGGCAGAAAGGCAATGCTGCTGCTATTCCCTCATTAAGATGTATAATTACTGAGGGAACGGTAATACTGCACTTCAAGCAGTAAGGTGTTAGACAAATGCTTTGGGATGTCATTCTGAAGGCAGTTCTTATGTAGATAAGTCACTCTGGCTGTCACCCCCCTCCCGTTGTGTGCTGGGATGGAGTTAACGGGCATATGTCATCCCTGGGCTAACCGGGTGGCAGAAAGTATACACTCAGTTCTCTAGTATCTGTGCCTGGCTAGCACGCTGTAAATATATACTTTTTTGTTTAGGTTCCGCTTAAATCTGTGACTGAAAGGCTGGTCGTCAAAGGAGACTGAATTTGGCATGCCTTGATCGAGAGGTTTTTAATTGGCGCTGGGGGTAGAACTGCTCAGGCTGGGTCAGGTTTGTCTGGTAGCAGGGCTTACCTGGCTGTGTTTCCTGATAACCTCATGCTTCTTACAGCTTGTATCACAGCTTTCGCCATCAGCAGAAACCACAGCCAGCTGCAGTGGCTGACACACCAGGAGTGCTTATCGAGGGCCATTGTGCTCTTATCCAGATCTTCAATAATACATGGCATTGATTTTTCGCTGTGTTGAATACTATATAGTGTTTACATTCCCCAGAATAATTCAGCAGGGTAAACAGATAGTATTCTTTGGAAGTAAAGTCAATATTAACAGCGTTCAGGATAGTATTTGCTGTCTATCGTTGATGGAAAGCAACCTTTCTCTTGCCTGTGTTTAGAAGGGGCTATATTTTCTGCAGAGTATTATTCTCTCAGAATGCTAGTCAGATACTGTGTCCCCTGGGGTTGGGTTTGGGATCCAAGATACTGTCTGTCAGCAATTTTTGCAGGCAGGAAATTCTGCTGCTGCAAGTGCCTTTGGCTGTTTTCTGGGACTGTGGCCATTCACAGCTTCAGTTCAAAGGTGGAAGCTTTCCATTATTTATCTAGTTGACCTTCTGGGGCAATTTGTAGGTGTATTTTTGCAGAGTATCTACTGGAATTGCCTTTTATAGGGTAAACTGAGGATGCTAACGGAAATTCTGTGGTGAAGGTTGCAAATGGCCCCCGCTGCTTCCCATTGACTTTGCAGCAAGTGGAGATAGCAGGGCTCTGCAAACTCGAATAGCCTCTGACGTAGCTGAACACCTCCACGTGGCTGACATGCTAATGTGAGCGTGGATTGAAATGTGCCCGTCGGCAGGGGGGGTAAAGCTGCACCTGCAACTTTACATGTCGAGTTTTGTGCTGACGGTGTTTTGTCCTGCACGTGCTGTTTTGAATGACTGTCGCTTAGGAAGTTGCTACGTGGTGGGGCTCTTTGGAGCATCGAGTAGAAAGGTCCTTCATCCACCTCTTGCTGGGTGGACTGGCAGTTGTGCTGCCAAAGGCTTGCTGCAGTCCGTGGGATGTTGAAGACTTGGTCTTTTTTCCCCTCTTGGAGAGGTTGAGATCTACCAGGTGTCCAGAGTGCTTCTCTTATCCTGAGACTATGGCTCTCTAATGGTTTTTGGTGGTTTCTAGCACATCATTAAACAAAGAAAAAACACAGGATGAAACAGTTCCTGCTTAAATAGACCCTGACATCATCATACATATGCACAGCTATGTATTGCTACTGAAAAACTGTCAGGCAAGGAGTAGATGGAGCCTCTGGGCAGAATATGAATGCCTTGATTTTCTAGCCCCCTGAGCAGCAGTGAAGAGGGCCACTAGGACCAGCCAGTGGAGATTGAGATATAATTGCTTGCCTAGAGCAGTAACATATTTCTGTACACCAGCTGAATACCAATGAGGACAGAAGGAAGGAAGGTATCAAACAGAATTGCAGGCAGGAGGAAAAGGAGGGTAAGTGATTAAAGGAAGGGACTTAAAGGGCAAGGCTGAAGACAATAGGCTAGTTGTGATTAGAGCATTTTACCAGGGAGTGATTTGGTTTTTTTAATGAATTTTTTTCAGGAGCTGAATGCATTACAGAGCCGGTCGGTGAGAAAGTGAGCAGGAGCAAGGGGCAAGCAGCGTGACCCCAGGTGCCACTGAAAAGACTGCTGCAAAGATAGGGGCAGGGAAAGGGCGCTGAAGCCACGATAACCTAACTAGAAGCAAGCACATCCTTATGAGGTTGATGAGGTTAATGCCACAAGATTTCTTACTTGGGCCTTTTTCTTCCCGGTACTACTCCTTTCTGTAATTGCACACAATAACCTTTAAGGCAATTGAGGTTTAAGCAGGATGAATCTTGGCAATTACATAGGAAGGTGATTTCAAACTTAGGGTGCAGTTTTGTTAGCCCCTTACTTAGTTTGAGATGATAGTCTGGGGCCAGACTGTCCCCTCCGTGACCGGAGAACTCTGAAAGAGCGCCCAGCGATGCCGCTTCGCTGCTCTTCAGCCCTGCAGCATGGCTCATGGCTCATGCCAGGGATGTGGCCGAAGGCATGGCAATGGATGGTACGTCTGCGCTGCCTTCTCCATGTCTGCTCCATGAAGATGTAGAGTAAAACTCAGTTTATTTGAATTCTGTCCTTCAGGGGAAAAAAAAAAAAGCAGCACGACCTAACCTTCAAGCCTAAGCTACCGATAGGAAGCATGGCAAACTCACAGGGTAGTTTGGAGCATTTTAGATGCTTTGAAAGCACTTAACTCATTAACTACCTCTGAATTATTTTTTAGGATCTGGTAGTGGGAACTAAACATAGAGATCTAATGAGCTAAAAATAATGTTGGAAAGAACAGGCTTAGTGTCTCTGAGTCACTGAATGTCAGCATCTGCCTTTTCTTCCTGAAATAATGTAGTGGAAGCTTCAGGAGAGCTGGTGGGGGAGAATGAAATCTTGCAGTAAAGCCCTAATTGCTAGGCTCCAAAAACATCACCTGTGTCCTGTTTTGTGGGCAGCTGCACTTTAAAAATGGGTGGGAGAGATGGTTTCAAAGCAGCAGAGCCTGTATTCTGCAGGACTTCTGTGCCTGCTCCCGGGTGACGTCATGGCTCTGCAGCGGCAGTGGCGGGTGACGCGATGCTAGACCTGTCCCCGGGTAAAGCCAAGCCCGGGAAGGATGCGGGTTACTGCTCAAAGGCTTCTAACCTTGCACAAAAGCAGGGAAGCTAGTCAAACCTGAGAGCTGCAGCAGATCTCGTGTCCTTTTCCTCTGCCGATGTGAAGCTTCACTGCAGATAGGCTTTGCTGCGTAAGTGGCTTTAATAGGTTTGCTTTAGGGGGTGTGTTTTGAAAGGAGAATGAGTGTGTGTATTTGACCTATATCCTGCACATCATGTCCAGGAAGCCTGAAAGGCGTAATGGGAGGAATGTGCTCTTACACGATGCCTCTCATTTTCACCTCCATTAATTTTATCGGATTGCTGCATTACATTTATATCGTAAATGTTAGAAATAAAAAGGGAAGGAGAGAGAAAATTGCCCTGTTGCTCCCTCTGTGATCAGCTTCAGGGATTCTGTTGTCTTAAAGCCACATATATGGAAAACAGTGCTGTCACTTAGCGTGGCATCGGGTTTGGACTGAAAACATTATGGCTTTTTTGTACTAGAAGTGTTATTGGCTTTGTTAGAAAGAATCTGTGAATGAGCAATTACAGTGGCTGCACAGAAAAGAGGAAAGACTCCTGACAGCAGGGAGGTGCAAAGTGTCTCAGCCTTGCAAAGCATTATAACGTGGTTTATTTTTATGAACTTTATGACCCACATTTGCTAATTAAAAGCAAACAGAATTATCAGATGTAGGGAAATTTAGCTGAATTGAGAGAGCAGCGTAACCTTTTCAGGGGAGAATGGGAAACAACTTAGTTGCAAAAACATCTGCAAGTGAGCAGGCTTTGATCCCACAGTCCTGTGTTTCACAAAGAGGAGCTCTGTATGGGCATTTAATTTTTGTACATACGTGTTAATGTATTGCCTTCTTTTTGCTTATTTTCCCCTGCCACGGAAATTTAGCTGAATTGAGAGAGCAGCGTAACCTTTTCAGGGGAGAATGGGAAACAACTTAGTTGCAAAAACATCTGCAAGTGAGCAGGCTTTGATCCCACAGTCCTGTGTTTCACAAAGAGGAGCTCTGTATGGGCATTTAATTTTTGTACATACGTGTTAATGTATTGCCTTCTTTTTGCTTATTTTCCCCTGCCACCGCAACCTCTGAAATGGCTACTGGAAATTCCTGTACTGCCCGTCCTCTTTCAGGCTTTTAGTGGACTAATTCACAGTTGTTTATACTTAGACAAACTAAAATATTCTCTTACAAAACCCTCCTAACTGAGCACTGCCTCATTGCTTTTTCCTTTGTACAAGCCTGTGTCTTTCGTGAAATATGGCCCTCAGCTTCCACCTGCTGTTCAGAGTTAGAATGGCAGGTCTACCACAAGTTTCAAGAAAATAAAAATATTAGTGCAAATTTCAGTCTCAAGTGCAAAATGTTGAACAAGATGAAAGTGGAATTTAAATGACAATATAAAGCTGGTCCTGGTAAGGCTTTCGGTTTGGTTCAAATTAGCTAGCCCAGAACTTGAATGAAAGGGGTGTTATTTCCACTGATCAAGTCAGCCAATTTGTAGCTGTTTTAAGAAGCAATCTACTTTAAGTTGTACAGAAGTATGCTGTTCTTCTCTTTTCCAGCTAAAAACCACAGTGACACCCAAGTGTTCTTCTACCTGTGGATTATCTTCTATTTCATCAGCTCTTGCTATACCCTTATCTGGGACCTGAAGATGGACTGGGGTCTCTTTGACAAAAATGCTGGTGAAAATACCTTTCTTCGAGAAGGAATTGTCTACCCACAGAAAGTGCGTATACAGCCTGCTCTTACGTTAGGAAAGGCTTTTAATATTTTAACAAAACTTGCTGAGTTTAGAGCATGTTTGCAGTTGGCCACTGGTCCTTCCTGAATGCTACGCGCTGGGATTTTCTAGCAGTAGAGTTCATTTGTTTCAAAGAGATCATTTCATACTGTTGATTTTTCTAGTGGTTGAGCAGCAAATTCTGTATCTTCCTGAAGGCCTGAAGAGGTCTGTCTTCTGTGCAGAGCATGTATGATGAGCTGTCCGGTTTGTCTGTCTTGTTCTTCAGGCATACTACTATTGTGCCATTGTAGAAGACGTGATCCTGCGTTTTGCGTGGACCATCCAGATCTCCCTCACTTCCATGCAAATCTTTCCGTATGCTGGGGACATCATTTCTACTGTATTTGCCCCACTTGAGGTATTCCGGTAAGGCTGCTTGACTGAACAGTTCATTTCTCTTTTACATTTTTATTACTTGTATAGCGTCAGCGCGGTGGGAAGTGCCTTGCTCCTTGGACGTGGAAGGTACTGGTCATTGAAATGGAAAACTAGGTCTAACAGGAGCATTTAGTCTGAACAGGGTTCTGAGTGAAGAAAGCTATGGAGGGCTCTGCAGCAATGCGGGGCTGTGTCCTTCATGCTGCGTTTGCAGTTTCTTCTGAACCTAGATCTAATCCTGAGGGTTTTGTTATTACTAAATTTCTCCTTAAATTTACCTTGCTGAAATTTCCAGATGAAATTTCACTTGATTCTCAGGTTTACAGTTATTCTCAAATCTCTGCTGCTTTTCCAAACACTAATTTGGATCCTGCAAGATTTCAGGGCTCTTTACACACTCGTACTCTAGCTGGAGACCTACCCCTACAACTTCTCAAGATGAGTAAAAGCCCTTGAAGCTGAACCTCGCTCATGTAGATGAAACGCAGAGGTTGCGTTTCACTTGTAGTACCTGGTGCCTGCATGTGTCCAGGCTACGGCTGTCATCGTTAGGACAATGAATGAGCCTGACAGATCTGTTCTGCTCCAGAGAGTTGGGAAGATGTTGTAGCAGCTGCTGCTGTTAGTCATTTGCTGTTTCTCTATACTCCCAGCGTGTTCCCAGAGGCACTTTGATCAGTGAGAGCAGTCAATAGTATCTAGGTGCATGTACCAAACACGGGCAATGCCTGTAAAAGTGGAACCGAATTGGTAATTTTCACTTTTTCTCCCCCCAGGCGGTTTGTGTGGAACTTCTTCCGTCTGGAGAATGAGCACCTGAACAACTGTGGTGAGTTCCGTGCCGTGAGGGACATCTCTGTGGCACCGCTCAACGCCGATGACCTGACGCTCTTGGATCAGATGATGGACCAGGAAGATGGTGTACGAAACCGCCGCAAGAACAAACAGTTCTGGAAGCGCAGCCAGAGCGTGTCTTTGCGCAGACCTCGTCTTGCTTCACAGTATGTTTTGCCTCTCCTCTAGCGCAACAAACCAAATCATGTGTTAGAGCTGTTGTTAATGCTTGGTGGCCATTTATGGACTGGGTAATCATGGGAAGATCTCAGCTAAAATAGTCATTCAAAGGGAGGACAGGTCCAATTAGTAAATGAATATTTCTCTGCTGGTGGGTTGATCCATCCTTTACATCATCTTTGGATTCTGGTAAACCACTGGAAAAGGAAGTTCCCTTTACAAAACTCCCCTCCTGCAAAAAATAGACAGAGGTTGTAAATCCAAACCTAGAAGAGAGGTTCCCATCAACTGACCATTTCCAGGCTTCAGACCTCTCCAAGATTTCGGTTATCATTTGGTTAAGATTTCCTATGTGAGATCTCAGATCTTTTCCTCTCCTAAATCTAAATCCATGCGTTTTTTTCTTTCCACCCCTCCTCCTTACAGCCTAGACGTTTCCCCACCTTGCACCCCAGTCCTGAACCTGTTGACTGCTTATCTTCACTGCAGTGCCTCTGCTCCGAGCATCACAGGGTGCTCCAGCATCCAGGCATCACTTCTGCCCCAGCAGCACAGCTGCGGAGCCCTGGCCTTTGGCCAGGAGGCAAGCTTGGGCTCCCTGGGGACGCTGAAGCACAGCATGTCGGGAGTGTTGTGCAATCCCTGCAGCACATCCCTCTCTTGCATCACGGCATGGGAGGGGTGGATGGGAGGAAAAGGAGGCCGTGGCTGTCACGCAAAGAGTGTGCTCTGGCCTGAGCCGCAGCCCTTGGGCCATGCTTATCTCATATCCGTGTTGGGTCAGAGTACACAGATGTGACCAATACCAACAGTCTTTGTGTGGCTGCTAGAGACTGAAAAACTTCATGCAGAGGGGATGTGAGCCAAAGCCTGGTCGAATTCCCTACAACCCTGTCTGTTTACCCCTCAGACATGCAGCGAACTGAGACATGTCAAGCATATTCCAAAATAAGCTGCTGTATCTTTGTGCAGCCCAGTGGCAGAGTGAGCAGGAACACTCCATCTGCAGCGACTGCTGCAACGGTTTTATGGAGTTTTGTGCGGAGGGCTGGATGGATGCACCGTGACGAGCAGTGCCGCAGCGGTCCCCGGCCGTTCGTCGGCGCAGCCCGGCAGAGGGCATTGTCCGTGCGCGCAAGGTGGCCAGCGTGGTGTGGCATGGGCAGTGCCATGGGGGGAGGATGCTGAGGGACAGCTGGGGCGTATTTGTAAGGCTCTGCTATTCCCAGTGAGAGTGGGAGGGTGTGAAACAATTCCAGTAGCCTGCTTATTCCCCCTCCGTGTAAGAAAGATTCTTCAAGTGCACTGTGGTTTTACTGTCTGCATGTAGTAATGGGAATTTCTTCTCCCCCATGAGTGTTTTCTGTTTGTTTTTTTCCAGGTCCAAGGCTTGTGACACTAAGGTATTGATAGAGGACCTAGCGAATGAAGCGAACACATGAGATGGCCATGGTCTCTTATTCCGCATCCTTTGTTTTCTCGTTCTGTTCCCCTCTTCCCCAAGTAACCCGATCTCTGGTACAGTTCCAGCTGAAAACAGGAGAAAACACTGAACACGTTTTCCGAGCTCTTCCAGACCAGATCCTATGAACTCCAACAAGCTCACTGTGTTTCGTTTCTTTTCTTCTGGGTTAATTTTAATGTTCTATTTTAAAAAAAAATAAAATATTTTACTTTGTTTTGCCAATAAAGAGGACAGTTCAGGAAAGAAGGATTGTTTACAGTCTCAACAAGGACATACAAACCTATCTGGATAACGAAGCATCATAGGGACTCCCTCATGGGACAGTGCCGAGAGCACACTCAGTTTCTGCTTGGCCTGGTTTTGACTGGTTGAAACCGGACTTAAGTTTTTAAATCTGATTTTTTTGGTTTGTTTTTTTTTCTTCATATCCAGCGCTGAGGCACTGGCTGCACTTGCAGGGAAAGTGCACTTAGAGCAGTATCTTCATTCATGAAGCTACTTTTTAATTTGATGTAACTTTTCTTATAATTTTTTGGAAATATGATGTATCTGTTGCATATAGTTTTCACATTATTTATGAAACTTAACAACCATATGAGAGTGATTTTGAGTCCTGTGCAATGAAGGTTGTAACAGTAAAACAATGCTGGGAATGTAGATCTAGATCTCCAGGGTTGTAGGGTTATGCCCTGCAAATACCCCTCTTGTGAGACGACTTGCACCTGTGTTTACCTTTTCTCTCTTTCTTTTCAATTTTATTTTATTTTAAACCAAAGTTTCTCTTTCTGATTTTTTTAGTTGCTGCTACTGCTTCTGGGCATGTCTCTTGTGCCGGTTCAACGCCAACTTTCCATGCAGCTGTGTGAAAGTAGTGCAGATGATCCTAAGGCCCTTTTGAAAGGAGAGTTGGGTCCTACCAACAGTGCAAAAAGCTAGGTGAACAAAGGCTTCAGAACTTCATTCTCCAAATCAGAAAGTATTTTTCAAGGCCTTAATAATCCTTAGATGGTGTGAAGGCATCCCATACCGAGCAGGGAGCTTTCCTGGTGTTCTCCTGCAGCCCAGCGCAGCAGAAGTGAAGTGGGACGAGGCGAGGAGGTGATGGTTCCCGTGAGCAGGGAGGGAGTTTAGCAGGCTGGGGTTCAGGAGCGGTGGTGTGTTGGAGAGCTGTCGGGGAGCGAGGGAAGGTCTGCGTTGTGCCCACCTGATGGGGAAGGTGAAATTGAAAACAGGTCTCCTCGTGGCTTCTAATTTGGCAAAAAGGCTCTGTCGGGCGCTATCCCGGCACGCTGCCCTGGGGCTTGGCTGTTACTCGTGCCCCTTGCCTCGTCTCACTAACCCAGTTTGGGAAGTGCGATATTATTAAGCAGACTCGTGTAAAGGGCATCCATATTGCCAAGCAAATTATGTGGGAAGAGCGATGCTAACTCAACGGTCTCGTTGGTCTCTCCTCCCGTAGGAAAGGAAGCACGGGGACCCGCAGAGTCCCGCTGTCCTTCCCCTGGCGTGACGTGTGCTCCCTGCTCTCTCGCAGCAGTGCCGGTGGGCGAGGGGAGCAGGAGCTCAACCTCGCAGCCAGGACCGCTGCCGCTGGGTCGGGTCGGCGTGGCCGAGGTCCCCGGGACTGCCGCCTTCCCCTCTGCCCGGCTCGTGGGCAGCCGTGGTGCACAGCTAGGACTGCAAGGGAAGGGTGAAACGCCTGAAGTGGTATCCTCGCATTGATGCCTGTCTGGTGACTTGCCTGTAGTTTGGGCAATGGAATTGCAGGAATCCCTGCTCAGCTGCTGTTCGGTGGTTATTGTTTCTTAATTAGCTAATAGCATGGTTTCTCACATGACCGGTATGTTGCATTTTCTCAGTTTGCCTGCTGTGCCTCTTGCCCAGAGGAACTGAAGAAGGAAACTTAGTTTTTTTCATTTGATTTGAAATAAATTAAAATTCAGCGGTGGTGAACCCGTGCCAGGCCAAGGGCAACACTGCAAATCTGTAACTACCTACACTTCTGTGACATGCTCTCAACTTATAAAGAACCTGGGATGCCCCTGCCGAGAGATGCCTCCGCTCTGTCAGCAGTGTGTCTGTTGTGGTGCTCCTCCTCGCAGCTCCCACAGCATCCGACTGCTCCGGCGGGAGGGCAGCTGGACTAGCCGGCGTTGTGCTGTTAATCCTTTCGGTGCCCAGGAGCCTGTTTTCCCGTATTTAACTCCCTTTGGTCTGTTGTTTGTACTTAAACGGAAGGTTCCTTTTCGTGTGGAAGTGGAGTCTGAGATATAAAGCCCCTTAAAATATTTCGGTTTCCTAATTTGCATTGCAGCGGTTGTTGCCGTGTCCAAACCTTGCGTAGGTGTTTCCAGCGAGAGCAGTGGGAGACGAGTGAAGCCATTACTTACCTAGGGGTGGTTAGAGGAGGGCAGCCGCACCAAGGGGGTGCTGTTACTTAAGCAAGTGGTTCTTTACAAAAAGAACCAGAGTTTACCGATAATTCATCCTTTCAGAGGGAAGGTAGAATACAGAGAGATGTTTTGAAGTGATGCCAGCCCCCTGGGAGCACTCTGCCTTCCTCAGCTGGGCTGGGGGGAGCGGGGCATGGCCGGGTGGCCTGCGTCCTGCCTGCCTGCCTGCTGCTGCACCGTCTGCTTCCCAACCTGGCAGGGAGGGTCAAGTTGCGAGTAATTAAATTCTTGTTCTGTAGTTTACCCAAATCCTTAGGGGAAGCGAGAATTCAGTCTGTTCGTCTGCTCTGCTCCCTGCTCTGCTTTTTCCCTTCCCTTTTTCTCCGTCTTTGCTGGAAGGAGAAATAAGAAAAAGGGGAGGTGGCATGCTACAGCTAGCAAACGTTATCTCCTAAAATAAAACATCATCCCCTTTGGCAGTGAAGATGCTCTCTTGGGGGAAAGGAGCCTGAATTTCCTGGAGCAATGGCTTCTAAAGGCTCCCAGCTCCCCAGCGCTGCATCTGCCTGTTCCCTCCCTCCCAGAGATTTCTGAGAAATCAGGCGTGCAGATTCCTCCCGAGAGCGAGTACTAAAGCCGGGATGTGGCTCCGCGTCTACGAGAACATCTGGCCAATAAAGGGAGACCTAACGAAGCAGAGCAGATGGTGAGAGAAAATAGCCCCGTCGCTCCTTGCGAGCAGCCTGCGCAACGGGAGCGAGGGGAGCGGGGACAGGCCGGGGGTGGCTTCGTTTCGTGAGCGAGCTTTGCTAATGGGTGCTTGGAAACACTCCTGGAGAGAGAACAGCAGGGTGACAATCCAGAAGTATGGAGAGCAGAGTTAAAAGGAGCTGGGTTATTTTTTTATCCAGCACTTAGTTGTTGGGATATGGCTGGATGGAAAGTGGAAGCTGAGACAGGTCTGGGCTCTGGCTGCCATGAAGCAGCACTGGCTTTTGGGTGTTGAGCTCTCCTTCTCCTTGCGATGCGGTGCAGAGGTTGTGGGTGTGTGCGGCTCTGAGGACGGTGTGGAAGCTGCTTTTGTCTTGAAACTTTTTGGCTGAAACTCTTGCAGATGGTCCCGTCGAAGGGGAGGAGATGCCGCAGTGTGGCCGATGAATTTTTGGAAATTCCCTTTCAACTCGCTTCTTCGTGCTGATTCCCTGCTGCTTTCCATCCTTCCTGCTCTTCCAGGGATTTTTCGGGTTGCAAGGGTTTAGGATTTGCAGCATCCAGAGTTTATTTGCTGGCTGGAGTTCCCTGCGTGGCTTTGGGACCGTGTCACCAGAAACGCCAGGTCCCCTGCCTGGGGGAGGCGATGCTGTGTGCTGTGGGTGTGCGCTCCTGAAGGAGCAGTGGGCAGCGGGGCAGATTTGGGCTTTACAGGCTTGGCAAGCAGGAGTGGGAGCTGCTCCTTCGACGGGAACCATGTTTTAAAACGTGCCACCACATTTTAGAAGAAATGCATTTGCAGCGCTCGCGGCTGTGGCCTGTATGTGTCAAATAAGCTCCTACCTCTCAAATCCAGGTGCGTTCCCAAAGTCAGCTGCTGCTCATCCTACGCATTTCCCGGCCCCGCTCCCGGCCCTCCTTGTTCTGTTGGTGTCTTTGCCGTTTGTCCGAAGCCAATGATAGGCAGGGCGCGGGGGGACGACCGGCAGCAGCCTTCAGCGTGCAAATCTTGAGGGGGGGAAAAGTCTCTTGTGGAGCAGAGTTGGCTCCTGCTGCTCTTACTTCCCTGATACCTTCTTGTGCTTGTTCTGCTCCCTCTCCGGCGCTCGTCCACCGCAGCCGTGTGGGAGGCAGGGAGGGAAAGCACAGTCCAGGTTCAGAAGATAAAAATCCCTGGGGATTTTACTGCGGATCTTCCAAGGAGTACGGGAGATGGCACAAAGCATTTGAGCCTTGCCTCCGTTTTGAACAGCCGAGTGAATTTAGCTTTATGCTGCAAGGATGCTGCTGCTGTGGCTCCGGCGTGCGCCCCAGGCTTTTGGGGGGGTTGTGGCCCTGAGATGGGGCCGTCGCGCTGGGACGTGCCCTGGGACTGGGGCATGGCTCGGCTCCCGTTGGGAACACAAAAGCCACTTTGCTCACGTGCTGTCTCCCAGCCCCATGTCCTCCCTCCTCTCCTCCACCCTTCTGCTTTGCACTCGCAGGGGGAAGACGATCTTCTGCCTTAAGCATAGGGGTTTTTTTTTCATTGTAATTTTTATTCCAGAAAGCGATTGGATTGTTTTGTCTCCTTGGAAAAGAGGAGCTGAGGCTCCTGGGGGAAGAAGGGAAAATCCCTACGGTAACTCTGCAGCAGTCACAGTTGGGTTCGGTGGCTGTCACCTCATCAAACCTTGCCTCCCTTACGTGGTGCCACCCCAAATACCGCACCTTGGGACCACCGCCACCACCGTGGGGTTAAACTGGTGTGTCAGCATCCCTCGGGGCCTTCAGTCCCTGCTGCAGCTCCCTGGCTGCAAGAGAAATGCAGGTTTTGCCAGGGAGAGGAGAGGAAAGGGATAGTAATACTGGGTGTACGCGGATGCTGATGCCCCAGCCCTGTTCCCGGTGGGAGTCGGGGGCTGCTCTGGCCCCGGCGCAGCCGTGCCGCGGTGGGCGAGAGGTGCCGACCCTGCCTGGGGAGACGCCCCGTGGCCTGACAGTCCCTCAAGCTCCAGAAACCAAATTGCAAACTCTTTGCTCCAGAGGAGAAATTGGGCAGCCTGGTAGAACTTGTGACGCCCTCCCCGTCCCATAGGTCCTCCTGGTGAAGGATCGGCGTTTGGAGGGGGCTCGGGCTGGAAATGCCAAAGTTTCCCCCCG